CTAGAGACATGTATCTTTTAAAAAAATATTGCCACCCTGAAATGGACAAATATGTCAAATTTTGGCCTCTGACCCATGGACTAGCTAATTCAGCCGTAAAGTTTGTTTTTATTCAAACTTCAGTAGTTTTCTAGTTGTTCTACTGAGGTATTGACTTCAATTTGTGACACCACGCAAATTGATGTCACAAAGAGAATTGATGTCACTCTTATAGAGCAAGAGTGACATCACAGAGCTGCATGGTCATAACCATTTCAGAAGTTGCAGAGCAAGTAGGATTGTCTCCTAGGAAGAGATTGATTGCAAAAGCTTTTCAAGCTAAAAAGCCAATTTCTAACAAACAAAGAAAATACTGAGTAGTTTTTGGATTTGTGTAGACAAAACCGATCAAGAATGAGTCAGAGCAGCCAGGCGTCGTCTTCTGATTCAACACAAACTTTAGCTTTCGATACGCAGAAGCTCCAAACCATCTTGAAAGAAGTCAGCAGGATGACTATCGAGAGACAGACTCTGATCCAAGCAAATGAGGATCTGAAGATTCAACTTATGAACAAAGAAAAAGCTGCACTTGAGAAAGACAAGCTGCTTCGCAAAAAGGACGATGAATTAAAAAAACTGTTTGAAGTAAACACTATTTTAAAGAAGGATAACGCCACCCTGGAGCAGAAAAACACTGCCCTGGAGAAGGAAAAGTCCTCCTTGGAGCTGATAAGCGTTGTCCTGGAGCAGAAATGCACTGCACTGGGGCAGAAAATCACCGTCCTGGAGCAGAAAAAGACTACCCTGGAGCAGAAATGCACTGCCCTGAGGCAGGAAAACACTGTCTTGGAGCAGAAAAACACCGACCTAGAGCTGGAGAATACCGCCTTTGAGGTGACAAACGCTTCCCTGGAGATGGAGAACGCCAGCCTGGAGCAGAAGTGGATTACTCTGGAGAAGAAAAACACCATCCTGGAGCAGAAGAAAGCCGCCCTGAAGCTGGAAAGCACCGCTCTGGAGCAAAAAAACACCACCCTGGAGCAGAAAAACGCCGACCTAGAGCTGGAGGATACCGCCTTTGAGCAGACAAACGCTTCCCTGGAGATGGAGAATGCTGACCTGCTGACCTCCAGGGCTTCGTGTCAAGTCCTATAGGTCTCCCGGCCGACCTCCAGGGCGTGGTGGAGAGTCCCTTTGGTCTCTCGGCCGACCTCCAGGGTTTTGTTGAGTGTCCCATCGGCCTCCGGAGCCTCGTGTTCCTTAATTGTTTCCTTTTAATTCAGCTTTGTTTTCCACATCTGTTCTTCATTGGTGATTCTAATTATGTTTATTTCTTGCTTCTAGTTATTTTCCTTTGTTCTAGTTTAATTAGGTTCCTTTAGTCTCCTTACTCCTTTGTGTTTGTATTTTGGTTGTTTCCCCTTGTGTATTCTTCCCCACTTTCCTTTGCCACTTTCTCTGTCCCTTCACAATCTGCTTTCACTCCCTCCACACACACCTGCTCATCAGACCAGGTCCTGCACAGTGGTGCACTTGGTAGCACTTCTGCTTTGCAACAAGAAGATCCTGGCTTCAATTGCCAGCCCCGGGTCTTTCTCCATGGAGTTTACATGCTCTCCCAATGCATGCGTAGGTTCTCTCCGGGTACTCCGGCTTCCTCCCAAAGTCCAACAGCATGACTGTTAGTCACTAGTTGCCGCTTCGTCTCGTCACTTTTCTCGTTTCTCCCTGGTTTCCTTGTGATCTTTCTGTGTCTCCAGTTTGTCTTTGTTTTGCATTTTTTTGAACCCTGGATGTTTTTTGTTTTTTTTTTTCATTTTTGTAAGTTTGATTATTCGCTTTGTCATTAACACTCACTAACACTCATGTTGTTGAATTAATGCTGTAGTTTTAACATACAACACTTACACTGGAAATTGAACACTTTTGAATTTGCTGTGCAGCACAAACTCCTAAATAACTAATTTAAAATGCAAAAAGTTATTATTTAACTTGTTTGGAGAACATCATTTCCCACTACGCAGTTGCATTATTTTTATGTGCAAACTAACTGACATAAAATAGTTAGGTTTTACTGAACATCAGTAAAAACTAACTATTTTATGTCAGTTAGTTTGCACATAAAAACAACCCAGTATAACATAAGTAAGAACCAACTTAGATACTGATATGAAAATAAAAAAAGAGCTTAGAGCATCAGGAGGTCTTTTGTTGAGTGATTAACATTTTGAAAAAAAATAATATTTTTGTTTCTAAATCCATGAAATATATATATAACGGGGCAAAAATGTATGTTTTCTGGTGGTACTTAAGCCAATATGGGCTGTTAAAGGTTTCCTATGTTCTCTCTGAGCCACATGATGCATTGCACTGCGACAGATGTCTTGTTATATGTTCCTTGTTTGTATGTCTCAGCCACAAATAAACAACAACCCAAAAACAAAAACAAAAAAACAAGTTAAAACATTCCTTATCTGGCCAAAATCTACAGCTACATTGTAGGTGCAACATTATTAAAGATTTAGTTATCTCTGCATCAAAAATATTCTCCAGAGTTTTTAGTTTAGATCAGTGTTTCTCAACCCTGGTCCTCACCGCCCCCCCTGTCCTGCATGTTTTAGGTATTTCCCTTCTGCCACACATCTGAATTGTATCTCTGGGTGATTAACAGGCTTCTCCAGTACTTGATGGTCACGCAATCATTTGAATCAGCTGTTCTGGAATAGAGGCACATCTAAAACATGCACAGCAGGGGGGCGGTGAGGACCAGGGTTGATAAACACTGATTTAGGGCATTAAATGCCCAGAGCAAAGTGAATCCTAGCTTTGACAAAACATCACCAGCAGCAGGGAGAACAAGTTGGCTTAAAAAAAGAAGGAGAGAAGTCTGATACAATTAAGTAGAACATAAATGGTTCAATGTTCTCCTTCAAGCTGGGTTACCAAAACATACTATTTCCAACGTACAAAAATAATAAATTAAATGGTAACACTTTATCTGAAGGGGTGTGCATAAGACTGACATGACACTGTCATAAACATGACATAACACCTGTCATGAACATAAAGAAGTCTTTATGAATGTTTATGACAGTTGTCATGAAGTGTCATTCGGTAAATAATTACACTCTTAATGCAAAGTTGTTCTAAAAGTTGCATTGAAAGTCTATTAAAAGTGCCAAATTTGCATTAAATTATAATTTGCAAAATCATGCAAAGTTGGCACTTCTAATGGACTTTTAATGCAACTTTTATCTGTATTCTTTTATCTGATTATCTGTAAGCAAAGCAAAAGGTCTAGAACAGTGTTTCTCAACCCTGGTCCACAGCGCCCCCCTGCTCTGCATGTTTTAGATGTGCCTCTATTCCAGAACAGCTGATTCAAATTATTGCATGACCATCAAGTACTGCAGAAACCTGTTAATCACCCAGAGATACAATCCAGGTGTGTGGCAGAAGGGAAATACCTAAAACATGCAGGACAGGAGGGGGCAGTGAGGACCAGGGTTGAGAAACACTGATCTAGAAGAACATAAAAGTCTGAACAAAATAAAGATTCTTATAGGCAGCATTTATGCAAAAGGCAAATATTTATTTTTTGTTCAACAAACTAGAAATGTACAACACATTGCATTTCAAAATTGTATCCATCTCCTTCTAGCAGCTTATTGCTAAGTTGGTTTAAATGATTAGATTTAAATAAGAGGTCTGACTTATTCCTGTCTATTTTAGACCCACTGCACCATATGAAACACAGCTAATTTACAGGTATTGGCAGAGATTTTGTTCAGCTGTCAAGCTCTAGGAGTGTTTTGAGACTTGATTAGCGACTTCCTCCCTGATGTTTGGGAACCTGCAGAGATTCTGCAGAGCTGAGGCATGGACATGCTGCACCTGATCAAAGATCTGATTTAATTTAAATGAAGAGCTGCCTCATTTATGCTCAGTCTCTCAGACTAATTTAATCACTCTGTAATTGGTATATTTTCAGAACCTTCACCCTTCTTTAAAGCTTGTTTTTGTGACTTGGACAGAAGAGGTTATGTGCCTTTAAAGGAGATCCTTTTAAAGATGTTGTAGCAATGTAGCAATAAAATTTTATTTTAATCATCAAATTAAAATGGTTATACACATGTATTGCATACAGTGGTTATGCAAATATGTATTTCCAGAACTTATTTCTGTCCTGGCACTGAAAAAAAACAGAATTTAAGCCAATTTATCAGGAAATTATAATATTACATGAGACCAGTAAAAATTTTGTTTTTGACAATTATCCAGTATGCGATCACTGAAACTCTTGGCAACAGGTCATTCCTGAAGAAGGAGAATACTCAGAGTGTAGCATGCAAACGTATACCGTACATAGAAAGTTGAGTGGAAGGAAAAAGTATGGTACAAATAGTTGCACAAGAAAGAGGGATGGATACAACTTTGACTGGATTGTGAAACAAAGCACATTTATGAGCTTGGGGAGGATTCATAAGGCATGACCTGCAGCTGAAATCAGCGCTTTAAGTAATCTGGGTTTCTTTAACATCTCAGCATTTCCACCATGCCAAACCTCAGATGCAGCAAGTAAAGCAAAAATAAACTCAACAAAGTACTAAATGAATACTGTAGTCTTTTTTTTCTGTCAGTTTTTCTTTCAAATTCAATTTTCCATTAATATGCTTGGCTTGGCCAGAGCACCACGAACAGCCTGCATCTTTAGCAATGATCTTTTATGACCTACTTGTGAATCTGCTGGATAACAAGTCAGCAGTCAAGTCAGCTGTTCTCTCCCATAGCTATACCAACACAAGGCCATTTCTGTATTTAAAAACGTTTATTTACTATTATTATTATTATTTCTTTTTGAACGGAATTACTGGAATTAATTAACTTTTCAATGAAATTCTGACTGACTGAGATGCACTTGTATATTTTATATACAACTGTGCTTTTGCAGTGGTGTAGAGTAATAAAAGATTGATGTAAACCTGTCCCCTGATGTCAGGCTGAGATACATTCCCCCTTACCTGCGGGAGTGAGAGGATGAAGCTCATGGTCCAGGCCACGGTCAACATGATTTTGCTTTTCCTCTTGGCCTCGCTGATTCCCAGAGGATTGAGGATGGCAGACTGCCTGTCCAGGCTGATCACCACGGTCACAAAGGCGCAGGAGTACATCGCCACAAGCTTCATGAACATAAGCAGCCTGCAGGCGGCGTCCCCCGCCTGCCACTGAACCGTGATGTTCCACACCGCGTCCACGGGCATCACGATGAAAGTCACCAGCAGGTCCGCCACCGTCAGGTTCATGATGAGGATCCTGACGTGAGACTTGCGCTTTCCGCCTTTGCCGGCTGCCCACAGCACAATCAGGTTGCACACGGCGGACACGGCGCACAGAGTGAAGGTAATGATCACTCGTACTTTGGCTGCGGTTGAAAAAGTGGGGAGTTGGAGCGCGTTTCCGTCAGCGCTCTTATTGCAGTCCAAGGTGGTTCCCTGACAGCTGCCGTTCACCGTCTGATCCGTCAGCTGGTGGAACATAATGAACCCCCGGGGTTTGACTGACGGGACAGATGAAAGGGACACCTAGACTTTATATTTGCCCAACATCTTCAACTGAGTCTCAAACTGAGAAAAACGAGAAAAAGTCTCGTGTTAATTGTTCTGTTTTTTGTTGTTTTCTTTCCCCATCTTGACGCGACATGTGCCACGGGAGAAAGAAAAGATCTGGAGGTTATCTCACACCATTGCAGAAGGCAATTAGGAATTGGCTGCAGAATGCTGTTAATGACGTGCCAAGTCCATCTGACATCTGTATAAAAATGCATCATTGAAGTGTCCATATAAGGTTTTACAAACACACAACATAGCAGAAGCTAGTAACAATTAATAACTGGAACTTATAATGTGGCTCATTTAACATCTCGTGCTACTAATTTTAGGTAAATATAAACGGACACACATGAAAATAAATCATGGGGCTGACTGGTAGTATTTTCCGAGACTAAGTATGTGTCTTACCTGGATGCACAGGAGCCGGTGAGCGCTCGTACAGTGGTCTCACAGAGCGCGTTTCCACTGCAGTCTCTGCAGCTGTAGCTTCAGTCCGCTTCATTCAGCCGCTGTGACGCGCAGAGCTGCTGCTGGGGTCGATCGGTTTGACTGGAATATACAACACAATGTCATATAAGCTCATAACATAAATGTATAGATTCAGATTCAATTAGATTGGAATTTTTGCCTTATACTCAATGGAGATCGTTATTATTTTTCTTTTGTGAAAATATAAAGCAGCGTGGATTTGTGCTTTTGTTTTATTGATTGTGTGGAACTCCACTTATGTGTATCTTTTATTCCTTTTGAACCCATCAAAATTATAATTTGTAGCACGTTTATATGAAGTGTTTCCCTTTGAGGTTTAACTAAAATCCAAGGATTTTCCAGACTTTGGCATTCATGTTTCTTCGATTTTCTACCACCGGACCTAACAATCTTCTGAGAATCTCACCACAAGCTTTAGTGAAAGACACACGTATAAAAGGCGGATAAAGATCATAAGCACTGAGTAAAAGTAGAATAGATCATAAATTGATTACTACCATGAGCTAATGATTTATGATTTACGTGATCATTTGAGATCAGTGTGTGAACCTCTACCCCAAACAGACGGTCAGCTCATTGAGTATTTATGTGATTATTCAGCTCATCTCTGCAGATTGTGAATTCATCGACACTTTATACATGTGTGATTGCTCTGCAACATAAATGTTGAAGGTTTTCCCTCTAGGTCCTTGATAAAGCTTCTATTAAAAATGAATACGTGCCATTATTGGATATAAAAGCATGAACCCAATTTAAAATTGAACCTCTTTTCAGAAATCTTGGGACTTTTAATGATTAGTTTGAATTGATGGCCATGGGGGGCTGTACCCGCTAAACAAGTCTCTGGAACCTTAGGAGCATTTTTTTCTGAATAATAAATGAAAAGTGAGAGTGATGAAATAATTTGCTGTTTTGTTGATGTTGACCACATAGCCGAGTGTGGTGGTATTGTAAGACACGGGGAAGAATAAAACAGGCGTTGCTGCTTGGAGGAGTGACGAAACAACCTTCTTCAGCGATGTTCCTACCATCTGCTCCTTTTACTCAAAGAACAGGCTTGTCGGGGGTCCATGATTACAAAAGGACATCTGAAGGTGCCCTTGTTCCTGCTGGTTTACAACCATTTAACAACGAATTATCGGAGGAGCTTTATTGATCTGAACAGTAGGAGATGGAGACAGAAGGAGGAGGTGGGATTAAGAGGATTTTCAAAAATCAAAACTGGTTCTCACAGGCTACAAAATGAAAATTTCACAGGAACCAAGTTGAAGTGATTTTTTTTTTTTTTTTTTTTTTTTTTTTTTTTTTTTTTTTTTTTGCTGGGCTCTCTTGTTGTTTTCATGTTTGTATTATCTTTATTTGTCTTAAAGCTGCTGATTTCATTCACCCACCTAATTATCCACTGCAACATTTTTTTTTTCACTTGGTAGGTTACAGCAAAAGAATACACTAGCTCAGTGCACAGTTTTGCTATGTTACAATCACATGTTGTTCCATCTTATTGGTATTCTACGTGACATATCAAGAGAAAAAAGTGTGTGATGAACCTCAATAAAAATTAGATGAAATTAATTCTGTTCATAAATCCTCTAATTGGTTAAGTCCTCCTACGTGTGTGATTTAAACTGTCCCTCCGGTTTGTTGCATTTCATCGTGGCATTTCATGCAAAATTAACAGAGCGGTGCATAATTGTAAGATCATTGTATATTTTCTGCACCAATGGTCAAAAGCAATAGGCTAAGTGACTGCTTAACCCGTTCCAGGTGGCAGTATTTCTTACTTCTACTACCGCCTCAGCCTTACTGTTATTGTTGTAATAATATATGAAAGGAGAGTGTTGGAAAGCGTAGGAGCTTCTTAAAGAGGTAGAGTCCAATTTCAAGGTGCAAATGTCAACACCAAACTTCTTCTAAGCTAATTTTGATATATAAAGTATTTTTATAACAACTGAAGGCAACATAGTTACTTGAATGTGTAGTTACATAGTTACTTTGAATGGTCAAGCATGAGTGCCAATGCTTGACCATTCAAACTTTACTTGTCATAAAATGGCACTATGCGCCTGGAAAATATACAATATGAACACTTTAATTCATCATCTGAATATAGAAATAATTTGGCACAACTGCAGACCCACTTGTCTGATTACCTTAATAGATTGTCTGGGCCCAGGGAGATCATAATTCAGATAACCAACAAAAATTTGTAACATGTCATAATGAGTTCCTCAGACTTACTCAGTGCCTATCTATGACAAGGTACACTTTACCACTGCGGCTAAATATTGTGAATTTTCAAATCATTGAAATTGCCTAATGATGGCAATTCCCTAAAGGCCTTGATAGCACCATATTGTTCTCTCCTTTCATTGTGATGTTGGTTGACCTTCACTTTGTCACAAACAATGATCTGCCCTTTGGATTCATTTTTCAGACTTCTTGCTTTTGTTGTCACTTTCATTTTATCATTAAATAGTTTATTAGCTTCTCCGCCTGCCGTCCTCTGAAGTCGTATCTGCATTATGTCCACCTGCATCACTGTGCATGACGGCTAATTTAATGGCATGTTGGTTTGTGCAAGGAATTTATGAATTAACATGTTCATTTGTGAGCTAACTGCATAAATCCTGTGTAAGCCAATGTTCAGTTTCCTGATGAGCGACCGAGATTGATTATCCTGCATTAAGTTAAGTTTTAAATTATTACAAGTGAACCATTATGTAAGGCTTACCTTAGTGTATTTGCTGTCTTGTGGAAGGTTGTCTTTTGAAAGCTGACGCACCTAAAGTGAATCACAGACCTTCTCAACCAAATGTTGCTCAGGGGGAGAAAGTTCTGAAGAGTTTTTCTCCCAGAAACCAGGACATCATTTGAGCCATTTCTTTTTTCAGCTCAGGTACAGTTAGCTACTGAACCCTTATCTTTTTCAATACCACTATCTTGGAGACTTTATTGTTCAGCTGCGGGGTTAGCTAGTGTATTTTATTATTATTTTAATATTAATGAGAACTTATATATTAATATGCTACATTATCTTCCAATATTAACTTTGCAATATTCCAGAAGGACTTATCTGTTGCTTGTGTGAAAAATGTCTTTGGCTCTGCCTGACATCATATCTGTATAGCGTCTCTGTGTGGATGACGTGTCTGACTGTAGCCTTTCATAGACCTCTGTGGGTTCTTTTTCCAAGTCTCCATGAGGAGATAATGTATCTCACCCTTCTCTGGCCGGCTGCAGTAGATACTTCGACTTGTCGTTATGGAAAAATAACTAATGGAACGATGGCTTAGGTCTAGAATGAGTCCCACGAAAACTATAAAAGGAGTCTAATAAAGAAAGCAGCCTGTAGAATCATTCAGCAGCGTAGCTCAACTTGAAAAAAAAAATAAATTAGTTTGTTGTGGGAGCACAATAGAAATATGGCAGACATTTGGTCATTTGTAATAACTTAAGCAGGGTGCCACTGTTCCAGAGAAAAATGCTAGAGCATGTTGGCTTCTAGACGGAAGTAAGTAAGCAAGTAAAACTTTATTTTTTAGACTTGTGTGTGGCACAACCAGCCGGCTATGGTCACATGAGCTTAGGGACTTTAGAGACATACAAATGTAAAAGTTTGGAGATGAGTGCCAATGCTTGACCATTCAAAGGCCCACAAGTGAGGATCAAATTCTAAATCTTTACTCTGAAGTGACAGGGGAACCAATGAATTTGGATAGGGAGTAATGTGATGTGCCAAGACTTTTGTGATTTGGCCGGAACCTGCAGATGGTCCAGGCCTAGCTTTGCTGAGGCTGGTGAATAAAGTGTCAACATAATCCAATCATGAAGAAACAAATGGAACAATTTACCATTCAGATTATGAGATATTAATACTTGATAAAAACTCAAGCAAACCAGTTAAGAGACTGAATATGACCATCATTGGTATTCAAAGTAAAACCATAAATAAAATGTACCCCAAGTTTCTCGATGGAACACTTGGCATAAGATGCTAAAGGACCAACAGTGTCTGTTAGTCCCAAGCACAAACAGGAATTCCTGTTTTGCCTTCATTTAATTGGAGAAAATGTTTAGCCATCCAGCTTTTTAAACAATCTATGCTTCTGTAAGATGCCCAAATTGTCAAAATGAAACGGATAGAAAGATTTAAACTGATATTCAAACCAGAAATATTTCTGTTGTAAGGTGGGAGCAACGCCATGCTGCACAAATAAAAAACATGTTGATTAAATATTTTTAAAACATCAAACATAAAGAAATAGAAATGCCAGCAAGAGAGGACGTGTAATGAGTGTAAAATGCCATCAATTACTGCATTTCACTGGTATATCATTCCGTTAATGACCCAGTTCAAGGTTCCTCCTGGTGACCCTGAACTCTTCAGAATAACGTAAAAAAAATAATTTTAGCTTCTTGCACTGACACATATTAGAAAAGGGAGATGAGATACAAGTAGAATAGAAGTGACCAGAGATTCATCCCCCACTTTTCACCCTGAATTGCTACATGTTTATCTTCCTTATCGGAATATTTCAATCTGGAAAGACTCAGACGAAGAAAAAGGAACAATTAAAAGATTTAATGACAGCAATGAATAACAGTTCTTTGGCGCTCGGGCCCCGGCAGCTGATCTGAGCTGAGATTTGATGTGAACTCGATGAACATCCCGATAACTGATTAGGGATGCTCTCCCCCAGGGCCAGACACTGGTGGTGGAGGTCTGGAAAGGGTGCCATCCTGGAGAGCCGAAGGATGTGGGTGGAGAAGGGGCGGTGGTGGGTTGAACGCAGCTGGGAAGCGGCTGACGGCTTCGGTGTGGATCCTTTTATGCAGAGCTTGATTGATGATTGGACACGCCGGGTGAGGTCCAGAGCTGAGGTCGGAGATGAGCATAACGCCGATGGGCGAACGGAGGTGATGGAGTCTTCCAGGTTGAATTTTCACTATCAGCTACATTTCAAATTCATCTGTAAAGGAGGGTGATCGTATCCATAAGCACTTGCATTAATAACTTGCTCTAACTAATGTTAGATACTTAAAAGAACTCTTACATACCATCAGCCCTTAATCATAATCCAAAAAGTGAAACTAGCAGCTGGGAACATCATGGTATGGGCTGGCTGACAGTTGATGATTGTTTCC